ATTGTTTTAGCTGATGATATTGAGCTTTTCCATTGTCTCTTTCCACATATGTAGTCAATTTGATTTCTGTGTACACATCTGGTGAGGTCCAGGTGCATAATCATCTGTTATGCTGTCTAAAGAAGGTAATTGAATTGAACAAATCATTGATTTTGCAGAATTCTATCATGCGATGTCCAGCATTTTTATCACCAAGCCCATATTTTCCAACTACTGATCCTTCCTCTTTGCTCCCAACCTTTGCATTCCAATCATCAGTAATGATCAATATATCTTGATTGCATTTTTGATCAATTTCAGATTGAAGAAGTGGGTAGAATTCTTCTATTTCATCCTTACTGGCTTCAGTGGTTGTTGCGTAAATGTGAATTATAGTGGTATTAACTGGTCTTCCCTGTAGGTGCATGGATATTATCCTATCACAGATAGCGTTGTACCTCATGACTGATCTGGATATGTTATTTTTGATGATGAATGCAACACCATTCCTCTTCAATTTGTCATTCCCGGCACAGTAAACCATGTGGCAGATTCAAAATGGCCAATACCAGTCCATTTCAGCTCACTAATGCCTAAGATGTCAATGTTTATGCGTTCCATTTCATTTTTGACAATTTCCAATTTTCCTAGATTTATACTTCATACAATCCACGTTCCGGTTATTAATGGATGTTTACAACTGTTTCTCTTCATCTTGAGTTGTGCCCCATCAGCAAATGAAGGTTTTGAGGGCTTTACTTAGCGTAGTGGTTACAAATCAGGCTGCTAACCTCAAGGTTGGCAGTTCGAAACTACCAGCGGTTCCGTGGGAGAAAGATGAGGCGTTCTGCTCCTGTAAAGATTTACGGCCTCGGAAACCCTGTGCAGGGTCACTGTGAGTCAGAACCGACTCCACGGTACTTAACAACTCCATTCATGTCATCATGGTCAACTCTACTGAGGAGGCAGCTCTTCCCCAGTCTCATATTGAGTGCCTTCCAACCTAAGGGGCTCATTTTCCGGCACTATATCTGACAGGGTCTCTCTGCTATTCATAAGGTTTTCAGTGACTAAGTATTCAGTAGTTTGTCACTCTTTCTTCCTAGTCTGTCTTCGTCTGGAAGCTCATTTGATACCTGTCCACCATGGGTGACCCTGCTGCTATTTAAAATACCGGTGGCATAGCTTTCAGAATCACAGCAAGTCACAAGCCGTCACAGTATGACCAACTGACAGACAAGTGGTGGAGTACTATGCATGGGTGTTTTTAAATAACATAAGACACTGTACATTCTTTTTGGAAGCAAGTGGGGTCGATAAATGTGCCACAAATGCATGTTTGTACCTTTATGCTGGGTAGTTTGCAAGTTTCTAAGATTTGCATCTGGAAGCCTTCCTGTTGGCTATTCCCAGAAACTCAGATAGCTTTAGGGCTTAAACCACTAAAAACATCTTCCAATTAGATCTTTTCCTATCTATTAGCAGTGATGGATCAACAGAATGGTACTTGAGTTTCTAAGCAGGGTCTCTTAGAGTTACAGTGTTTAAGTTTTCCTTTTTCATCCTGTGCTCACAGCACATATAGTAATCACATGGTCACATTTAATATTCTGATGGTTTTATTAACAAGTATATAATACATATATTGCATACTGTATATAATATATGAGGACTGTACAGTACAAATTTATGTTCACAGTTTGACATGACAAAATGTCATTACTGAATTCCCATTGGACTACAGAGTAGAAACAGAGAAGGTACATTAAACATTCACATCTTTAGTAAGAAAGATTACCAAAATGTTGCAGTATTTGCAAGTATACTAATGCATGCTAAAAACCTTTACCCATTCAGTCTTATTAGCTTATAAAATATATTACACTTTATTAAAAATTTCTGCATAGTTTATACAAGTATTAAAGTACTGTAAATGTAATGAGCCCGCTATAGTTGCAGGTATGGTTTAAGAGATGCTAAGCAGAAAGGTTATTTTGACCCTCTAACACTAAGTACATAACAGGAAAAAAAAAGTGCTATTATGTGTAAAACGTAATATTGTTGTAGCCCTCGTTTAATGTATGTAAGATGGCTTTGTAAATGTATTAAGTGAATTTGCAATCATTTATGAACTGTTAACCTTGACCAAGAATAGAATAAAGACAACTCCCAGCAACTTCATGTATGACAGGAATTCCTTCAAGCCTACTGTGTATTTCCAAACCAATCGAATTACTCTCAAGCCATAGCAGAGACTGTCTTTACAACAATCTAATCAGGAATGATGTGCAGATATACTGTATCACAACAGTCTTTCCAACTACTCATTAGTGCAATACTGATAGTGCAGATGGGTATTTAATAAAATATACATAAACATATAGCGTTCCCCTGTAAGTCTGTTCCAAGGCTCTCGAAACTCCTGCGTATTTAGCATCTCCTTAATTGAACATTTGCTATGTGGCTAACACATTCTCCAAACCAAGCGAATTTATGTTAATGCCCATTTATGATGTAGATTCACATTTTAAAACTCTATATAAAATAGGATGGATTCCGATTTAGTTGTTCAGACTTCCTTTCCCAAGATGACACCTGGGTAATGATGCAATTCGAATCACTGTTGATAGCTAACAATGGCGCATCATTAAAACCCCATGTTCAAGGGCATCTTAAGATTATCTTCTATTTGAGGTCTTCCACAATAACAGCTAAAAACGACTAAGAGACTAAATCTCTCAACTATCATAGTAAAATACAAATATATATATGGAAAATTGGGTAAGGGCCAATTGGTAACTAAAGTATACAGAACAACATGGGAATGAAGAATGGACTCTGGGTTGTTTTTTGTCGAAGAGTCACAATGGATTTTTGCTAATGAATTGTTAACAGAATCCAAACATGCTGAATAGTAACACAATAGACTTTTCTAAGGTCTTGCTTGCTTTTTTGAACAAAATTTAACCACACCATAGCAAACACATTGTTTCATGAGAATCCACAAAGCTTTCTATTAACTGGACTAAATTCGAAGTGAAGTCAAAGAAGATTAAGTCTGTATTTTCCTGTTTTTGTTTTTCCTTCTCTGTGGGTTGGAACACACATAATCTCCATCAAAACAGACATCTTCCTTGCATTGCTACTTAATTCTTCAGTATGTTGTGAATCAGTTCATGAAATGAACTATGAATGTGACTATACATTTACAATTCACACAATCTCTACCTTTTCCAAGAGCCATCTTTATCCCTCGATTAATGTCAGTTACAAAAAAAAAAAGCCCAATCAGAATTCACTCTAATAGTCTAAACAAATTTTGCAGTGCTTAAAAGAAAGAAAATCAAACCCAAGTGCCAAGATAACAAGTTGTTTTTCATTTCTCAATGTCATTTCCTGTAGCTGATTCACAGGGCGGGATGAGAGGGATCTCAGATGTGGGGTCCTCACAGTTACCCTTTATTAGCACAGCGCTCCCCACGCAATTCACAGGCCTCCAGAACCACTCATTCTGGGGTGTTGTACAAGCGATTACACAGTGTGCTCCTCCCAATCAAGTTGTGCTGGATCCTGAGTTGTGGCTGGGATGAATCTGCAGAATTCCATTCTTCTCTCTCCTTTCTCCATCCTTTACCGAGGAATGAAGGTACATTCGGTTACACGCACCTACATTTGACCACCACTCTCCACTTTCTTTGAATTTAGGATCAATGGCATTTCTATGTATGAATTATTTTTCTAGCCATCTGGACTACGGTATGTACTCAAAAGCCCGCTTTTGAAAACTTTCCCAGAATGATGACGCTATTAATCTTCAACATACACATGAGTCATTATTTTCAGCTTGTTCTTCTGACAGCTCTGGTGGTAAACTTTGGGGAATTTTTGAGCAACATATATGAATCCCTGAAGTGTGTTTTTCAGTATATTTTAGAAATCTTGCCTCCAAATAGATATGTGTGCTTCATAACTAGTTATCCTTACAAATAGTGTCACGTAGGTCTTAAATTAATCTACGAAAGCATTAGTTGATCCTTACTTACGATATGCATCAAAAATACAAATGACAGCCAATTTGGCACCTTACAGCTCACACAGAAGAGTTTCTGTCGAGAAGCTATGTGAATAATTTGATGTGGGAATAAATTTCCACTCAATATTTCCCTGTTTGCAAAAAGGCTATTAGCTGGTTGGTAAAAGACCATTCATTTACCCAAAAGATGTTTTAGCATTACTGAGTAAATGTCTTTGTGTTGCCCGTACTATGACTGTTTGTTTATTTATGTTAAGGGCACTGTAGGAATGGAGAGGGTTTCAAGGACGACCCCATCAGTAACTTGGCTTTGCAGTATCGTTTGTATGGTTCAGTCTGCAGAGAAAGCTCTGGCAATGCACTGTACAGCTAGCCCCAGGAAGAAACCTCACTAAATGCCTGTCGCCCAGGAGGAATAGTCGGCTTCCTGCTTTGACCCCCTCTGCATATCCCCACTCAATGCCCCTCTGGTTCTACTTCAGGCTGTGTAACTAAGTACATCCTCAGTCACAGTGGATGAACTGGTACGCAAACCCCACTCCACCCCAAAGCGGTAGCTTTGGCTCACCTCCCAATGGTGGTAAAGACCTCCACACAACTGTAGGCACAGCCGAGGGGAAAAGGCTTAATTTAGATGCAGTGATAAATTCAGGTTGACAAGCAAGATTTGTGGAGCACAGCCAAAGCGATGACCGTATGAGCTCAGCACCTTGCTGAATTGCATGGCAAGCTAACCAGTGTTGGCAAGGGGTCACCATGCTTCTCCCTGTCGAGCACACAATGCGGTCACTGGGAACACAGACATTAGGATGTTTCTGGCAAGGACTAGCAGGCTGATACTGTCATTTCTAATACATTTACTTTGACATTCTTTTGAGGAGTACATGGAGAAACTGATGACTGGTTATGTTAGTTTACAAGTTCCCTTGTTCTCAGTACATTAAACACATCTTAAGAAGGGTTTGCTTAGCATCCCCGGAAAAAAAAAAAAAAAGTGTTCACATTCTTTAGGTCTTACCCGTGGTAAGGAGAGGGAGGATTAGAGAACATCTACTATTGACCATATGGAACTTTTGAATTCTATAAATTCAGAAGATTCAGGCCAGCTGAATCAAAATGAAAACGTACATGTAAAAAATGAGTTAGCTAGTGGGAGGGAGGACTGAGAGAGCCAGGAGGGTGGAGAGTTGCGTTGAGGCAGGAGACGGAGGCATTCACACCAACATGTGGCGTTTCCTATGGAGGGCAAGATGATCAGAACGGGAGAAGCTGCGGTCACAGTCTGGACACTGGAAAGGTTTGATTCCAGTATGTTTCCGGAAATGTCTTGTGAGTTCATCAGACCGAGCAAATTTCCATGTGCAGCCTTCCCATGTACATTTGTAAGGTTTTTCTCCTGAAAAAGGAAAAAGAACAGAACTTAATTTTTCTGAAAGCAAAAGGATATTAATTAGTAAAGTCAACAGGGGTTAATGTTTAGAGTCTTTAAAATCTTGACAAATATTATTTCCAAGATATGCTCCTACTTTGAATCCACAGTACTGGTGCTATTTTTATAAACCACTAAAGCACTGGACTGCAAGGTCAGTTTCAATCACAAGGTCAGCAATTCAAACTCACCAGCTGCTTCTTGGAAACCCTATACAGGGTCACTATGGGTCAGAACCGACTTGACAACAACAACAACAAAAATTCAATCTCAATATTTAACTAGTTCTCAGCCCCCTCCCCCCCACCCCCCCACCCCCCAAAAAAAAACAAGTGGGGGGAGAAAGAAATTTTTCAGGTTCTTAATGTGTATTGTTCTTGGCTGCTATAAGCTGGTCTCCAGTCAGCTGAAGACGACCCTAAGCACACCAAGGTTTTCTTTCTAGTCTGCTTTTGTCTGGAAATTCCACCGAAACCAGTTCAGCATCATAGTGACATACAAGTTTCTGTGGACAGACTTGAAATGCCCTGGCCCGGGTCTACCACTTAAATCCCACTGCCCTCTCTTAAATCATGTAAGTCTGATACTCATGCTGAAGGGCTATCAAATAATTTGGTTTTGCCTTCTGGTGATGGTGATGTTCTTTGTCAACACCATAATTCAGACACATCAGCTCTTCTTTGGTCTTCATTGTCCAGCTTTCACATGCCTATGAAGGAATTGAAAATACCATGGTTTGGGTCAGGTACAACTTGGTCCTGAAAGTGACACCTTTGCTTTTAACATTCTAAAAGCGTTGCCTTTTGCAGCAGGTCTGATTGATGTCATATGCTGTTTAATTTGTTGAAAGCTGCTTCCATGGAAGTTGATTATGGAATACAAGTGAAATGAAATCCTTGACAAATTCAATCTTTTTACTATCACGATGGTACTTACTGATCCAGTTGCCAAGACTTCTGTTTTCTTGACGTCGAGGTCTAATCTATGCTGAAGGCTGTGTTCTTTTATCTACATCAGTTAAGTGCTTCAAGTCCTCTTCACTTTCAGCAAGCAAGGTAGTGTCATCTGCATTTTTCAGGCTGCTAATGAGTCTTCCTCTAATTCTGATGCCACATTCTTCTTATTTGTTCAGCATACAGACTGAGTAAGTATGGTGAAAGGATACAACCCTGATGCACCTTTCCTGTGGATTTCAAACCACACACTATTCCTTGTTATGTTCAAATGACTGCTTCTTGGTTTATGTACAGGTTCCTCATGAGCATAATTAAGTTTTGGTAGAAAATATTGAATATGCCAGAGACTGCCAGAGAACACAGCTGGTTTGGACAGACAGAATGTTCCTTCCAAATGAGGACAGTGAGACTTTGTTTCACATACATTTACATGTTATTAGGAGGATCAGTCCCTAGAGAAGAACATCACGCTTGGTAAATGGGAGGGACAGCAAAAAAAAGGAAGACCCTCTGCCATCCTCCATGAGACGTACTAACAGCGTGGCAGCAACAATGGGCTCAAACATGGCCAACATTTGAGAGGATGGCACCGAACCAGGCCGTGTTGTATGTACACAGGGTTGCTGAGTTGGAGCAACTCAACGGCGCTTAACAGTAGGATTAATAACTTAGAAAACAACTAACGAGCTGTTTTACAACTAATGTTCTACATTAGACCTACTTAGAAGCTTAACCATATGCAATGTTGTTGTTAAGTACCGTGGAGTCGGTTACGACTCATAGTGACCCTGTGCAGGGTTTCCGTGGCTGTAAATTCTTTATGGGAGCAGAAAGCCTCATCTTTCTCCCACGGAACAGCTGGTAGTTTCAAACTGCCAACCTAGAGGTTAGTAGTCCGATTTGTAACCACTACGCTACCAGAGCTCCTTAACCATATGCAATGCTACCCATTTAATGAAAAGTCCAAATCAAAAGTTGGTGGCAGAGAATAAACAAGATGGCGGATCAAATGGACGTGTAGCAGAGAGCTCCGCCAACAACAACACAGAATACCCAACCAAGCAGGCTCAGGGGCTGGTCCCAGAACTCTGAACCACATGTAAAGGAGTATTTAGAAGGTTGGAGGGTTCACACCTGGGGGAATTTGTGTCAAAAGTAAGAAATCTATTGCTTTCTAGTCCGGGACACTCGGCTGCTCCAGGAGCCGCCATCTTGGGTGAGACCACATGGGGGAAAGATCGGAGCGGCCACAGACGCCTGGCAGAACTGCTGAGATAAAGGTGTGGACAGTCTTTTCTTTTGGTATCTGTTCATTGGTCCCTTGCTGTCTGCGCACCTCCATTCTGGTGACTATAGGGGTGCCTGAGCTAGTGGGTACCCCAGCCCCACCCTCGGAGGGTTCCACTATGCATGTGCACAGAATTCCTCGAAATTTAAAGAGACAGTTTCCAATTAAAACCAAACGGCCACAGCCGGCCCTGAACTGCTTCCAACTAGAAAAAAGCCATGAACGGGGATTGTGGAGCGGGACAAGCAGACAAAAGAGGAAATATGCAGAAAATTAAATCCTAAATTACATCAAAATGACCAACAGTGGTATCTTGAAACTTCTCAGGAAGACGAGTGAAAAGGGAAGCCCATTTCCTGATCACATCTACCTGGAGGCATTCAGAAAGCATAAAAAAATACCAAAATA